TGCGGCATTATTTCTACCAACAAATTGATGCCAAAATATTTTTGGCAAGGCCGCAAGTAGTTTCTACGCCATGTATAGGTTATACTACCTGCAGATAGTTAAGGTTGGGGTTAGGACTATACTTCATGTTAGCATGTTAGGAGTAGGATTAGGGTATAGGTTTATTCTAAAAAGTTTGATCAACTATCATACGCATGAGTATAATAAACGCTTATTATCATATTAAATTTATTAACCCGACTATACTGCTTTACATAGCTTACATAGGACTCAAGAAAATTCGTATTATAAAACAAAAACGCGATAATACTGTAATTTTTACGGTCTCGTGCAGATCTGCGTTGATTTCATTGGCCAAGATCATTGAGGCGCGCCACAGTATGTAACGTGCCCGTAGAATCATATGAATGTTTTCATTGACGCCTCACCCCTTAATCCCTTATAATGACGCCACTGGATTTTTTTTTTTTAAATTCTCACGGTTACCGCTGAGGATCTTTTTTTTTTAACACGCGTATATACGAAATATTGTACGTACTCAAGTACCCTATTAAGAAAAATGCAAGACGTAAAAACGGTTATTTCTATCTGTTATAATTTACGACCATCAGATCTTCTTGCGATGGTATGCGTATGCAAAGATTTCAAAAATATTTTAGATGAATGTATTAATCCATTAGCAGGAGAAATTTGGAAAAATTCTAGAAAACAGTTTACAATTTTTCACGATAAAGAACCTCCACCAAGAATGAGGCAACAAACTTTTGCAAGGTTATTAACGTTTGAGAAAGGTTGTCAATTTTGTAAAACTAAATTAAGAACATGCACAATTTACTGGATTCCTGGAGTTCGCTCTTGTAAAGAATGTATGGTCCCAAGAGCGTTTAGGTAAATTTGATTTACTATTATATATATATATATATGTGTGTATATATATTCCTTAATGATAATTTGTATTTAATTAAAAATTTTAATATCATTATTTAATAGTGAAAGTATATTTGAAAATACTTTTAAGCTTGATAATGAAATTCTTGGACTGATTGCACCAGTAACACCAAGCATTCAACCCAAATTAGTATATTATTGGGGCGAACATGTTAAGAATATTATTGCGTTTTTGATGAAATACGATGGTAATATTCAATTCGATTTGAATAACTTAAGAGAACAAGTCGAAAATAATTATAAAGAAGTCCAACATTATCATGATTGGTTAAGCAATTTACACAAATTATATATTAGAGTTCAAGAACATTATTTTGATAAATTGAATGAAGAATTGAATAGTGAAATTTTTATCAGGCTACAAAATGAGGAGGAATTCAAAACAATTAAATCTGAGATCCATGCCAATCCTTTTTTAATACAAGATTGGCCAAAGTATAAAGCAAGAATTTTACGAATGTTTCCAAGAATTTATCAATCTTCTTTAAAAAGACGTATGAAACAAAATTCGGAACGAATTTTTAGAAATCAAATTAAAATTGTCAAAGGTTTAAGGAAATTAACTTATGGAACTGTTGAACGACCTTTGAATAAAATTATAAGCATTTGGGATCCATTATATCAATATTTAGCTATATGTCCAAGTTATGTGAATCCTCCAGAAAGTGATGAATCTGTTTATACACGAGAATTTATCGAAAAAACACTTTTACCAATACTCAAAAAAGAGGCTGATCAACTTCGCGCGACGAGGGTAACCCCTCCTCCTTATTTACTTGACATAAATGGTGCGTTAAGAGTTGGTAGCCTTCGAAGTCAACCTGTCTTTGAGTGTCGTCTTTGTTCCAAAATTGAGCCGTCTAGCCTCAAAAACTTTAGGCTGCATATAAGTATTTCTCATAAGCTTGAAGATAGTCTAAAGAACATAGTTTCAGTAGCAAAACTAAATTGTGATGCGGTGGTTACACACTTGTTTTACGCTTTTTTTGATTCATGTAATTGAACTTGTGTGAAAGAAACTTTTTTAAGTAAATCAAATACATGATGATAATGGGATCAATCAAATTAAATCTATGAATTCATTTGGATTGTTATTAGATTTTTCAAAAATGTTAAAAGAAAACTTTATAAACTTTTTATCTTTTTATAAAAGTTTATTTTCATGCATTTTTATAAATTTGATGCTTAAATTAGAATGAAAATTTCGGAGATAAAATAGGTTTGATTTTGACAAATAAAATTAACAGAGCTACATTGAATCATACATTTTAGTATATAGTACAGTATTTGTTTATATACGATTCATTTAAATATATACTCAACGAAAAAAAGTTTACTATATAAAATTATAAACTAATAATTCTGCTCAAAATTTAAGATGTATTATATCAATCAGATTGAATTTTAACTAGTTTCGTAGATAATAATGAGATCAGTTTAAATGAAATTTGGATTCCTTTTAAGACTCTAAAACTTATTTATACTTTTCTACTAACAATCTTAATTCTAAATTCCTATAACAACGGATAATCAAATAGTTATATATCGATAGCCAAAAATCGCACCAACAAATAAAATGAATGATGATAACAGAAGTGATAATTGTGATTAATCAATTTTTAAAAGTATTATATTACGCTAATACGTGTATAAAAAGTTAAAAGAGTATCCACAAATTTAAAATCATTGTCCCAACAATTGGAATTACTCTTCTAATCATAGTTGCAAAAACAATTACATTCCAACTTCTAATCTTGAAGATTCATCTGCCATACAAAAACCTTTATATTATTCCATTTAAAATTCTTTGATTACAATAAAGTTTTTTTTTTTTGATATATCCTCAGTATCGGACATCAATATTAAGATTACTAATCTAAGTGTTTTTATCGATATTAATCTTAGGATATTTTATGACTTTTCAGCTACATATATACTGTAGTTTGAATTACCAGCACATCGAATATTATAACTTACTTGGAAATATGTATGTAAACTATCCTGGTCTCCATACAGCATTTCTAAGTCAGCATATTTAAAAAACAGTCGGCACAATAGACAATAAACCTGGATTCGTTAAGTTTCCATCTCGATTCTTATAAAGATCTGGAAGTTTTAATTGAGAAAGACAGTAGAAAGACAGTTAGAGGTTTCGTCATAGTCCATCACTTAAGATGTAACAACCTAAAGGATTGTTTGTTACGTGATCCCTTAGAGACAAATTTTCATTGCATTAATCAAATATTTAAATTATCGTTTAGAACGTTTTTTTTTTAAATATTGATTTGGTAGAAATCGTTTAATTAATCAATAGAACCATAAAAGATAAAAAAAAAAAATGCTTAAGATCATTTTTGGCGTATAAATATGATTAAAAAGAATATGATTTTTGTGAAAAATTTTTAAGTCAAACATCGGTATAAGTTAATTTGGTTATTAAATGATTTAGCATCCGATTTCAAGTAAAATAAGTTACATATTTCATCAAAGCGTGTGATCCATAAAGCTAATTTTATTAACGTGTGCGTCTATTTAATTCCCTGAGTAGGAATTTTAAAAATAAAAGTAGGATCTTTTAAACTCCTACTTATTTCTGTATTTTCGAAATAAATTAATTCTGAAATCCCTTAATAATGATAGCATATGTTATATGCTCGATTCAAAAAATTTCTCTTTTTCCCTGTTTTTGGTTATTTTATGGGGAAAGCGATAACGCAATTGTAGGTTACTGACAAATGGGAAAAATTGTTAACCATCCCAAAAGTGAAAAGCAATGGAAAGAGTTAGAAACCATCGGAATGATTTTATACTAGCAAAATAAAGAAAAACTACATATAAAAGATTCTTTTCTGACATGATGAAAAAGTTGAATATAATACGCATTTGTATGTCATTATTAGTTATATTATAATTTTGGTGTTTACTAGTATCATTTTATTATTATCCTTACAATTCCTCTTGCTTTAATAAAACTTTGGCTTTTCCATACAATTTAATATAAGTTCCTGGTAATACAAACTAGAAATAAACTGAATCGATAATATTTTCTTTAACCATAATATTATTCCATAAAAACCCATGCATATACTTCTGAACTTCCTTTTTTCGTTGACTATCGTCTTTGAATTTATGATACAAAATAATTATACCCACAAAATAGTTACAACTTACGTAAGAAAGTTAACTAATGCCTAAATATTGAACAAATATTCTTCCATTGATCAAATGACCCAAACCGAAAAACAATCGTAATATACATACTATCAAAATTTCTCTATAATCGTTCTAATATGTGCTATGTAAATACATACTTCGTACAGTATAACATATTCCGTATATCCCAGGAATAATAGTATTAAATTGAGTCATTAGCCAATGTTTATTGATTTTTCAAATGTTAAAAATATTAACATCAGGAAAGATAATATTCTGTATAGCAGTAATATAAAAGCAAATGAAGTTAAGTCAACCACATATCATTAGGAGATTATATTATCAGTTAAGAGATATGTGATGACTAATATTTTAGGCACAGTACCTTAATAAAAGTACATTAATTGGTCTTACGTCGTGCTATAAGAACATTTGCTTTACTAAGTATCTTCCGTTTTTTCTCGTTGTTCAAATCAATGCCTATAAGAGGAAATGCACAAATTTGCACAACCTCATCTTGACAATTATCGGGATCAAATGCACCTTCCATAAAATCAGGATTTACTCGTGTATTACATTCAAACCAGATGGGTGAATCGGCTATTTGTTCTTGAGCCTTTAAGTCGAAAAAGAATATTCTAATAACATCGCGAGAAAGTTTTGCTGCCATGTCTATAAAAATCTTCTCTTTGTTAGGATCTTTTACAATTCGAAACTTGTTCATCGTTATAATTAATTTTTTTTGGAGGTCACTAATAAATGGATGTTCTGTAGTGCCTCTAGGCGATACAATTGAGGTGAACCCACGACTACTTAAAACACTATAGATTTGTTGTCTAAATCGTACTGGTAAATTTTGAGTAATGTTATCATTGCCTTTACGAGATTTAGCAAAACTATCCATATTATTTAACAGAGTTTTCGTGTTTTCAACGATTTTTTGTTCAAGTTCTGAACGGTTGGTTTTTGAAAAATATTGATCAATATATTCAACCATTGATTCAAGAATAAATCTCTGTAATACGGCTTGAAGTAATGACTTATAATGCACGTCGTCTACAAAATTTGTACATTTATACATCTTTAAAAGCCCGATTACCTCCTCTCTATTAATATCAAAATCTTTAGCGGGCTTAACAAGTGAGAATTTTTCCAGAGTTTTTTTTAAAGTCTCAATATCTTCTCTAAGTTGACAGGAGTTGTTGAAATCATTGCTTAGAACATTCATTGTTCTACCCAATTCAGCTTGATATTTTGATGCCTCACGTGTTAAACGATCAATAGTTTTTTGTGCCTCCAATTTATTTTTTTCTATTTGATTTTCGAGTTCCTCATTCTTACTTTGTATTTCCTTTATCTGTTTTTTGAGCTCCTGATTCTTACTTTGCATTTCATTTACCTGTTTTTCGAGCTCCTTATTTTTACGTCGCATTTCATCTGTCTGTTCTTTGAATTCCTTATTCTTGCGCTGCATTTCATCCGTCTGTTCTTTATTTCTAAGTGGCAGCACACTAGTAATCTCTTTTATTGTGTTATCTGTGTTCTTATGTAGTATACCCATTATTTTATTAATTATAGCATCATTATCGCATGTATGAGCCTTTTCTCTCTGTGCTGATGGCAACGAATTTTGCGTTTGCATATTAACATCATCTTTATGGTGAAACATTCTTTGTGGTTGCATGTTAACATCATCCTTATAGAGCAACGTTCTTTGCATATTAATCACACCGTCTTTACCGAGTGCATGAGTCTCTTCTTTCTGCGCTGACGGCAACTTTTTTTGCTTTTGCGTTGATAAGGGCAGAAACATTTTCGTTTAATAATTACATTTAAGAATCCACAAATTGTAATTTGCAAACAATGAACATAAAAATGTGTACCGTATTTTTCTTTTTTACTCTTTTGTTTGGGATTTATTTATGTGTTATGAGAAATTAATGTATTATTGATTATCGTTATGAAATGAACGAATTATCTTTAATAAGATTAGCGCCAGATTAAAATTTTTATTCAAAATGTAATCATGTATCAATTATCAATACCGATATATGACTATTTTCAAAAATCATTTGAGTGTAAATTGACTTTTGGCAAAATTCTAATTAATACCAAACATGAATCAAAGGAATATATTAGACTCTAGCGAACTGCATTTTTCAGTAACGATAGACTATTGATCAGAGTTTAATTTTAGTTTTAATCAAATAGACATTTTATTGCAAGATTATCGAATGCAAGTATAAATATCACAAGAAAAGATAAAAAAAAAAAAAAAAAAAAAAAAAAAAAAAAAGAATTCATTAATAATTGACTCATTCAAGTAATAAATTATTATTTACATTTAATATGTCAGGTTTTTTTTCGATAAACGACATTCGAGTAGTAATTTCTATAGGTAATTTGGCCTTTTTTTTAGTCTGAATGTTGGTATTGGTCAATAATTAATAACTGCTATCTCGAAAAAATTCAATAGATTTTGGAACTACATTTTCTGTAAAGAAATTCCTATTGATGTGTGTTTTGTTTTTTATAAACCATGAAATATTTAACTTTTTTTTTTCTATTAGGGTTTTACTTACGCAAATGTATTTGACAATGAAAAAAATGTTCAGAATGATGATATGAACTTTGATTATTATACATATAATTTATGGGTAAGGATAACTATTAATCTTTCATTAATTTTGTTAATTTTGCAATGGTTTAAGATTGATTAGTCAGACATTTTAAATATGTATGTAGGACGGAACTGCTTACGGAAAATTCAAAACTAACACTGTGCTTAGATACGATAATGAATTCAAAGAAGTTTTAGCGTGGGGTGCACTAGGTTTGGCAAAGAATCCAGGCTGGAGAAGAGGCAAGAATACATCAAATCCTGTAGAACTATTCAAACTTTCTTTGGGAAACTTGGCTGAAGATCTAAAACCAGAACTTCCACCAGGACTTCACCTACAAAAAGAACAGAGGCATATAAGAGCCATTACTGATTATCTACAAAAAATTGGTATATGGTTTCCTTTATTTATCGCGCAAATGAAGCATCTTTGATCAAATTTTACACACGTACCATCGTAATTGAGATAAAGTGATTCTCTTAATCGAAAATTCAATGCAAATAAAATATTTTTATGATTTCTCACAATCGTATAATCGGGCAACAATCAAGTGATTATATATGAGAGCTGCGACCTGCAAAATTTGATCAAAGATATATCATTTTGCAAACAGCGATGAGCGCTACTTTACCACCAATTAGTGTTATTAACATTAGATTTTATATTAATATTAGGAGAGGTAAAAATGTTCGCGTTAATTCTTAAAGCAAATTGCATGAATTTTTAATAACTTTTATAACAGGTGATCAAAGAAAGGGTTACAAAACATTGGCCAGACATTAATTTTTCCGAAAATATTCGACTAATTCTTACCGTTCCTGCCGAATATTCTTATCAAGCAAAAAAGGTTATGCGCGAATGCGCATTCGAAGCAAAACTAATTACCAAAATTGATTCAGATAGATTACAATTTACTACAGAACGTAAGCTTTTCTATGTACTAATTAATCACAGAGCTGTGAATTTAATGTGTCATTTTATTTAGCCGAAGCTGCTGCTATATACTGTATCACAAAAAGGAGTTTAAGAGACAATTTTCTCAATGATTCCGAAAGTAAGTGTTATATTATGATTGATGAATTTTAAAATTTTGTAAGATTATTCAATTTTCTTTGTTACAAATAGCTACTTTCCTAATTGTTGACTGTGGGGGTGGAACAGTTGACTTAACTACCCGTAAATTATTGAGTAATTGTGAATTAGGCGAAGTTACGGGTAAATTTCGAATAATCAGTGTGACAATTCTTGGTTACAAAATCTTGTTTTAATTATAACACGGTGTTTTGTCTTGCTTAGAACGCGCCGGAGATTTTTGTGGATCTACGTTTGTCGATAAAGAATTTTTGAAATTTCTTGGTAAAATTGTCGGCGAAAGTGCAATAAAATTGCTCCGTGAAAAACATTATGGGTAAAAAGATATTAAAATTGTTAGTATTTTATCGTTATCTCACCTATCTCACATTGTATTTACACAGCGAAATGCAATATATGGTTCAAGAATTTTGCAATAATATTAAAATTCCATACACTGGAGATGACAATTTTACCTATGACTTTGATCTCGATGTAAAGTATAACTTTTTCAATTTCATCTTATGTATACATATACATATAGTATATATGTTATTTAATATTTAAAATATTATAATGTCTAGAGAATCTGTCAAGTATTAAAGCAATATGTCATAGGAGAGGCAAAGACATCACTTGAAGAGAAAGAGTGGATTATCGAAATTGATAACAAAGATGTAAAAGAAATGTTTGACCCTATCGTTGAGAGAATTATCCGACTTATACAAGTACAACTTGAAAATTCTCGTACATGTTCGGCACTATTTATGGTTGGAGGATTTAGCGGTAATGTTTTTACCAAGACAGCTAATTTTTATTTCATTCGTCATTTGTCTATTTGATTACTATCTAATTTTTCTTTTTTTTTAGAGTCCAAATATTTGCAAAATAGAGTCAAGAATGAATTTAAAGACAAAGTTGCACATATCTTAATACCTCCAGAACCTACTGCAGCAATAGTCCGTGGCGCTGTTATATATGGTCTACGTATGAACCCGTCATTCTGCAATATACAAGATCCCTCTATTAAACCAATCATTAAGAATCGTGTTCTTAAATATACATATGGTGTTGAAGTGGGCATTATTAGTAGATTTTCTACTTTAGCTAAAAGAGGGTAAGTACAAAGGTATAATATTTATTTACAACCGTTCACTTTATGCACTTTCTTATACACATTGTAATATATAGAACAACTACCGAAGTTAATCAGAAATTCGATGGTACATTCATTCCACTTTTTCCATATCAATCAGCCATAAAATTTAAAATTTATATAACTCAAAAGCATGAAGTAGAACGTTGTCATGAAGAAGGTGTTGAATTTCTTGGAGAGTTGTTAGTTGATCTTCCAGATATAGATCTTGGTCTTAATAGAAAGGTCAAATTTTCTCTTTGTTTTGGTGAAGAAGAAATTAAGGCTTCTGCTATAAATTCGGTTAATGGGCAGAACTATCATACTGTCTTTAATTTAGATACAGAATCTTAGCTTTTTTATACAAACATATTGAATTAGCTATATATTATTATTTTGTTTTATATAATTTATCAAATTTATACAATTATTTCTCGATGCATAAATGCATGTTCAGGAACACTTTGAACATATTAATCATAATATTCGGATTATAGAAATAATTTATAAATTTAATAACTTTTGTAAATTAAAGAATCCTTTCAAAAAATTATATTATACTTTATTATATCTATTTTCCAATTGAGATCTTTCTTAAAATAAATAACTTCATTTGATACTTAATTTAAGCCATTTGTTATATTGAGCGTATATAGTGATATTAATATGGGTGAGTCAATAAAAACCAAGCAAGATTTTTTTAGCAATTTTTTTTTTAAATTTTAAACCAAAATAATAAAGATTTAATCAAATTTGATGAAATTTTTTTTAAACTAATTCTATAAGTTTACAAAATTGATTTGAAAAATTTTTATCAAATTTGATTAAATTTTTGTTAAGTTATTTTTGTTCACAATTTTTAAAAAAATTTTATTATAAAAAATTTGCTTGATTTCTATTGACTTACCCATATGTCCATCTGAAATAGCTCTTTCAATCCACTATTCTTCCGAAGTATTTGCCATGGCTTATTAAAAACTTACTATTCACTAAGAATATGCGCGTATATATACTTTATGCTGCATATAAAATTTCACCAATTGGATATGCGCTGGAAATATAAAGCCAAAAAAAATAAAAAACGCTCATGTATGCGAAATTAGAGATTTATTTAAGCATCAAAATGAATGACCAATGCAGTGTTTAAAATTACCTTGCACAAGATGCACATGTGCAGGTAGTTTTTTTTTTGTGCAAGAGAAGGTCTAAATGTATATGCACAAGTGTGCAACTAAATTTAAATAAGGAGATTGCGCAAAAAATGATGTGCAAGAGAAATTATAAAATTTTATTGTACAAAAATTTAGTCTAAATATAAAATATGAAATAGATAATGATATTCTGAAAAGTTCCGAAAGGAAAATGAATGAACATAAAATATGAGCAAGGTTGAGCTTAAATTTAGAGAAAATATCTGAATATTCTGAAAATTAAACAAAAAAAATTAAGATATATTTGGTATAGTAATTTTATAACGTTGGCATCACTCGGAAATAATAAATATGTGCACATAAAAATAAAATTTATATGCACATGTGTGCAACTAGTAGTTGGTTTGTGCAATTAAAACCTATAACACAACTGCATTTGTGCAAGTAGGTTTTGATCTGAATTTTAAACACTGGACCAATGTTAAAATTTACTTGTTACATATAAAATCACATTCCAGACATTTAATTAGTGATCGTTTATTCGTTATTACGAACATTTTTTTAATTAACCAATTTTATTACCTCGATATTACATTTTTTCACAACTAGAGTTTAATTATGCATTACTTCATCTATATCGTATTTTTATTCCATTCTTATTACTTAAGGCTACGCAAAATTAATTTTTCGTTTTGCATTACATGGAATCTGAAAATTTGGTCGTTCGGTCAGTTGGTTTTTTTTTAAATTTACTTTAAATTAATAGAACCATGTTCAATATCCATCAGATGATACCGGATAAAAAGACAAAAAAAAAAAATGAATAGAAAAATCGAATAATTGGCACAATTAAGATGTAAAAAAAAAAAAAATTGAAAAATCGAAAAAATGGGTCGGTCGGGTAATGTAATACGAAAATCAATTTAGCGTGCCATTTTCATTACCTGAGATAAGAATTGTTTTCAGTGGGGAATAAATGAAATTCATTATAATAAATATAATGACCACGCTTTATTTAATCTTTATCTGATATTGACTTCTGACATTTAACACCCATTCCGCATGACTTTGTTACGATTTAAGCTGGCTTGCGCATGCATATGTGTTGCTTTCCCAACTCAGACTTCAACAGTGTCATTTTTTGAATTTTGACTTTTTTACTTTTCGCAACACGTTAGAATTTGCGCCTTGTTGATCCGGAATGGTTAAGTAATTACGAAAAGTGTTACTCAAAATTTATTAATCAAGAAAAAACATTACGGTCAGAGTTATCATTGGATAACGTCCAAATAAATTCAGTTGGACATATTTCCAATTGTCCAATAATTTTATTGGATAGCAATTTATAAGAATCTAATAATCTACATAAATATATCAGTTCTTCATTTTATCGACAATCAATTCGACAGTTTAATTCACCGACAATTAATCGACGATTAATTCACGGGACCGTATTATTTCACCGACAGCTCATTTAGCCGACAACACCCCAGGTGAAATTTAGTAAAAATATATACCTGAAATTTATCAAATGCTTAACCCTAACTCTATGTGATGTCGGCTAAATGAGCATTCGGTGAAATGACTGTCGGTGAATTGATCGGAACCGTTAATTCACATACAAGTTCATTTCAAAGACAGTTCATTTCACCAATAAAGTAACTCTGGTCATTGTCTTTATGGTCAGGTTTAGAATTATAGTTAAGATTAGTGCAAATTATAAAAAAAAAAGTCAGTGAAATAAGCTGCCGGTGTAATAAACTGTCTGAAATGAACTTGTCTGTGAGTTAATCATCAGTAAAATAGCTTGTCTGTAAATTAATTGTCGGTGAACTAAGTTGTCGGTCAATGAAATGATACGGGTCCATTATAATGTCCAATAAAAATTTTATTATGTCCAAATTGTCCAAATGTCCAATATTATTATCAAATATGTAGTGTCTCAGACTAACGTTCGCGTCATATTAAACCGCTAGGGATGCTTAATCGGTTTCGCAGCAATTGTGAGCAGATTTTGACAAAATCTTGCAATTTTAACTAATCTTCTGCTAATAAGTAAAGTTGTAGAAATTTTATTTTCTATTATTATATTTAATAGAAGTCTCCCGGTTTATGTATTAATTTTTGAATAATTTAGATGGGACTTGACCGGACAGTGTGGAGAAAATTTAATCGATCTGTCTCATCTAAATTATTAAAAGATCAATATAAAAACTAATATATAGTTATAGAAAAGCAATTTTTCTACAACTTTGTTTATTAACTGAAGGCTACTTAAAAATACCAATTTATTACAAAACGTAATTGCAGCTGAACCGATTACAGTAACATCTCTACAGTTAAAATCCTAGAGTCACCACTCTAAAAAATTTACTAATCAAAAATTTCGCTAGTAAGTTTTGCTATTAAGTTAGGCTATAGAAAGAGCTTTTCTAATACCAAAATTTCGCAGAAGTTGGTTTGTTTCGTTCTTTTACGTCACACCTGATCTTGAAAGCAACCCGAAAATGTGTACCAGGTTGCGCTCTGGATGATCATGTGACAGTCCGGAATGAATATCCGAAAAATTTTTG